CACCGACAGTATTCCTTTATTGACACAGCCTTCTCTAATGATACTTTTTGCAGTGGAATGCGGTGCAGCATCAGTGTAGCATCGTCACATTCCTATACACTTACATCCTGATATATACAATATACTACCGGGTGCGACTCAACACTTTACATGTTTTAAAAGCAACTTACAAAGGGGAAAAATAAAAAAATCCCAAATCCACATGCAATTAGAGACCATGGCTGGGGAAAACTCTCCTCACAAGCCAGTTGCTGGTTTTATGTATGTTTGAATATATGAGTAACCGACACATTCCAATTTGTACTGGTCACGGGCCATGGACCAGCAGCTAAGCAGACCCTCGAATTCTCCAGTAGCATATACACCAGTGACTTATGCGTCAGTGGTCCTGGCCATAACAGAAATTGATTGATATTTTATTTAAAGTTCTATCAATTACAGTTATACAAGAATTTCTATTTTAGTTTTGTTTATAATTGTCTACCCTTGTGTTAAAAATCCATTCATTTCTAATTCACAAACACAGTTACCATGAGCAGCATCTCAGCGGGTTGGCGAATACTTACTAAATCGATACATGTGTATGTTGCTAGAAGATGCGGTTATTTCACATACATAATTGATTATGACTCGTATCTATAGTCGTTGTTCCATGTGTAGACAGCTACAGGTAGAAAGGCCATTAACGTAACGGTTTATACAACCTAGGGATCTTGAAGACAGCTACATGTACATACGGTATTAAGGTGACGGTGTTTACAACTCCCTAGTCTGAACGACAGCTACGGATATATATGCTATACTTATGACGGTTTATACACCCCTGGTGTCTGTAGAGGCTGCAACAGGTACATATGTTATCATTATGACGTTTTATACATCCCTGGTGTCTGTACAGGCTGCGACAGGTACATATGTTATAGTTATGAATTATGATGGTTTATACAACCCCGACTTCTGTAGAGGCTGCAACAGGTATAACGTTAGTAATATGACGGTTTATACAACCTATACAGTCTGTGTCTGTGCTCGAAGCAATAAGTGAAGAGATTCCCCTCAAGAGGAAGACTTCCGTTGTAGAGGAAGACATGTCAGACTGCAGCAGACCTGGATTCCTGGCCAAGCGTCCGTGCATTATCAATAAACATAAAGATCTACAACAACACTTCTCCAGTGTTATGGCGGAGATTATGATAGAGCAATGACGTTGACAAGACTGACGTTGTGACGACTAAGGGATTACAGTCATTGTGGGATGTAATGTGGGATATTTTCCACCATCCCTCCACATGCCTCGACCCTACTTGTAAGACAGCGGTCGATCGAAGCAGCATGTCGTCCTGGGTCGCACTCGGGGGGCAGGAATGTCAACATTGCAGACGCTCGCTCGCTTCACCGACATAAGGAAACCGAAGCTACCGTTACTTACCTTCATTGTAACGCTGTCAACTTCTCGCAACGTCAACAATTTTTGATCTGTTTTCCCGTTTCGCGGAGAATGAATGGACAGCGCTGTTTACGAGATTCAAACGGTTTCAAATCAATCATGGGTCGTTTTGTGCACCTTTCTGTTTGCTGACTAAGCAGCGAACGTTTGAGGGATCCCTTGAGCAAACGAAAGGGAGGTTTAGATAGCCTGAGCTTGTGAGAAGTTAGTTGTTTCCTCTGTCCGAGGAGTATGCTGGCCGTTCGTTAGACACCTGCTTCAGGAGCTCAACGTGACACTGTTCACCTGGAGAATACTGTTCCTTCAGTAACGATACTGTGGACGGATATCGGGACTATGTTTTGACATAGTGCACGTGAAATGACGTGTGCGCGCACAGCATGGCCGACGGGTTGGAGCGGTAAGTTCAGACAGTTAAACAGAAACTAAATTTGAATTATTTGCTTTGAAAAGCTGCCTAAACCACCATGCACTGTAGAAACATTTTAAGATAGCTTATAGCTCGGTTGAAACTCCCAAATCAAATTCTTATATGTATGTCACCAAGTGCTATACCGACTCGCAACACCACCCTGGCCCAGAAATATATAAACTACATTACAATGCAGTTTAGCGGTACGTGGTGAGACGCATGTTTGTAACGTTGTAGCTGCTTAAACTGGACCCAGGAAGCAGGAATCCTTCCTCACGTTGAGATTTTGCTAACGACCACCTTTAGCAATCTAGTCCTACTAGCAATCAATGACAAGAAGTATGCTCAATATGTAAATAAAAACGAAACATTCCTTTTCCATAACTGTAGAAAATATTTACTAAAGGTTCACTGTACGGTCCAATATGTCATTGCTAGGTGTTGATGATACCAGGTACTTGTGGAAAGGTAAGCGTATCCTGTCCCACCGCTGGCACCCGTGTCCAATTGTTTCCCTGGACAAAAAACATATGGTACAAATACAAATAGGAAAATGCATCGCAGATCTGATTTATTATGAGCTAATATAGAATAGTCCACTGAATTTTTAAAAGTTTTTGACATAAATGTAACTTATATTTAATTTTGATAAATTGTAAAGACTTTTTTTGTTTTGCATAATATATATCTCTTGGATAAAAATCTTCACGATTATAAAAGGGTATTATCAGTTTTGTGACAGGTCTGTACATCCCATGTAACTTGTCCTGATTTGGGTGTGATCTTGATAACCATCTATGTAGGATGTATTAGTGATGTCAAGATGGTGAGTCACATCTACCAATGGTGAGGTCATTCACCCTATAACATAAATTTCTCAAACAGACCAAAGTAATAAATGAACAATAATGTTTCTGTATTTTCTATGGCTGACTACACACGAGAATTACTATTAACATTAAGAGCTTATTTGTAATTTTCTAGGTCGAAATGGTTGAAGGTCATGATCACATTATTTGGTTTCCACTTAAATAGGGTCAATCGTGCGATGAGAAATGCGATAGACATAAAAGAATTAGGAACTCAGCCTGATGACATGTATTTGAGTACCAGTTGTCTTATTGGTCGGAGGACTAGTCGTTTAAAGCGGGGCAATTCGCTGTCCAGAGTTGCTTTCCCAAGAGACGCGAGAAACAAATAGAAAGGGTGAGGGCTAATTATGATGATTATTTTGGCAACACCATACTATTGCTCGTGGTTTCACTTGAGCGGTAAAAGCCATCACAGACAGACACACCGTGACGTACCTGGAACACTGTTCAAATAGGTGTTAAACCTCACTACGTACCTGGAACACTGTTCAAATAGGTGTTAAACCTAACTACGTACCTGATACACTGTTCAAATAGGTGTTAAACCTAACTACGTACCTGGATCACTGTTCAAATAGGTGTTAAACCTAACTTACTCACTCTTACAAGTAGGGCGGTAGAGCACGTTAGTGGTTAAAGCGTTCGCTAGTCACGCCCAAGACCCGGGTTCGATTCCCCACACGGGTGCAATGTGTGAAGGCCATTTCTGGAGTACCCCGCCGTGATATTGATGGAATATTCTAAAAGCGACGCAAAACTAAATTCACTCACTCACTCTTACAAATGATACTGGTAGTGCTGTAGAATGTTAGAATGTTTTTCAATCATTCGCCCAGTCGCAAACAGGATAGGTTCATACCCAGTGATTTCCCCCCTTTCAGTTCAGTGTATGGAAATCACCATAACGCGGTCCCAGAGTCCTGACTCGGAACCAAAACATGGTATATTTCTGAAGGCGTGGACGTCATGATTATTTTGGAGGTGTTCGTCAGCTCATTGTTTCCTCTTGTTTTAAATCAATTTAAAGATCTGCTTAGTGTCACGTCAGTATTTGTCGTCAAGGTCATGACGTTAGTTTGCCAAGGTCAAACAACATCACATGGGCGTCCATCGTTCAGGCTAGTTCCCCCTCTGCTCGACAACTCGAGCAAACACACATAAACTAAATAGTAACAAAATAATGGGGAATGTGTAAGGTTTAGAACTATTTGTTATCGCGGGTACACTTCCTACGTCGCATAGTGAGGCGACTATGTGGATTCTTGATAGCACAGGACCGGTGTGAGATGGTCAATACAAAGGTCAAATGTCACCCCAATGATTGCCAACGTTTTATTAGCTATATCCTGTTTTAGTGACTGAAAGATTAAGGCTGTATGTCCATATGTTAAATAAGGATTACCCCCGATCCCGTGACCCCTGCGTCTACGTTCACCGATCCCTAAAAGGGTCTTATTTCATAACGGCCCTGATAAACGCCCTGCTGGGGGAGTGGTTTTATTATTCATGCATTTCCTATGACGCCCGAACCCACTCTATAACAACAAAATCGCTTATCGTACTAATAAGGAATATATAAACACTTGGAAATATAACAAACTGAAAGTATGCATATAATTCATTCGTATCGGTCCCAGGGTTTTAAAACACAGACACTTAGAGCAGGTGAGGGTTTTCTTTCTTTATGTATGATATTCTGTACAACAAAACTCCGTTCATCCGAACGCGGAATGTCGTTTGAAGTGGTATGATAAGGCATAAATAATCAGTTACGAATCGTTGTAACGTCGTGGTATATTCTATACACATAGGGAATATTCGCAAAACAGGGTGTCTGAGCTTTCGGAGTTTCACTGTGCAAAAGTTGTTTAAGTATTTGATTAACCTGAATGGATTATCTTACAATATTGTAAAATATATTTTTGATTGACAGGATTTACACGTATCATCAGATATAACGCACGTGTCAAAACCAGGTGTCTGTGATTGACAAAGGGTTCTTGATATTAATGAACCAGGCTGGAGGCCTTTATTTATAGGCTCGTCTCCTCGTGATTCATGGGACGTCTTACAGTTCATTTCAATACGTTTTATGACAAGAAAACGTATTAATATGGATAGGTGTGTAATGACAGTGAGTTCGGCCAGTATGTTAGTGCCCGACCAGTCAGTGCCCGACCCTGGTGGCAGGAGGAGCCGCGTAACGTCAGTGTCGCTGTACAGTGACAGGACTTAAGGGCGTGGCAAGGTAGAACAGCGGACGTCACCCCCCTTACCGTGTACAATGGGCAGGTAGGAACCAGGCTGGCGAACGAGAAAAATCGAACTGCGTTCTTGCGCAAGAAACTCCACTATCTGTTGATTTTGTTGTGTTTGTGTACTGTGTCGCTGAAACAAGTTGTGTTTGTTAATTAGGACAGTGTCTCTGTTATTGTTTATTGATGTTGTTTAGATACGGGTAGTGCTTCCTTGTTCTTAAATAACAATGAGAAGGCTTTCTCTTCCTTTATGTTACTTTAACAGTGTGTTATTGGTTTAGATGTTTTCCGATGATTTGCCATGTTGGTTAATAAGGGAAAATGCTCCAAAATCAACACTTACACGAAAATGACAAACATCTTGTTAAATGTATTGAAGTGACCGCCTATAAGTATGTCTTGACCGATGTAAGGATTCTCGCAGGGATTAGAAAGGAGTGGTGATTTAAGATTCATCTTGGGCAGTGTTAGCTTGCCCATAGCACATTGTGCGAAAAGGTTCATAACCCCAGGCAGGTGTTCAAATTAGGCTGTCAATTATGTGAATGCGTACATTTAGAACCTATTTTGTTTCATCAAATTAAGTATGATTCATGAATGTTTGTTCTGTGTTGTCCATGTGCGTCATTGCAGCTGTCTGTTCCTCTGTGTATCTACACTATACTGTTAGTTTTGTTATTGGCATGTTCTTATGTTCCCCTGTCATTGTATATTTGTCTATCTTCGTTCCCATGGAACTGGTTTCTCATATGTTCCTCTATATGTCCATATATGATCCTCTATGTTATAATATGTCCATATATGATCCTCCATGTTATAATATGTTCTTATATGTTTTATATATGTTCCTCATTTGAGTTCTTCATGTCCCCTTTATGTTCCTGCTTGTGTTCTTCCATTATGTTCCCCTTTGTTCCTCCTTGGTGTTGCCCAGTTCCCTTCGTGTTCCTCCTTTGAGTTCTTCATGTCCCCCTGGGTTCCTGTTTGTTCCTGTTTGTGTTCTTCCGCGTTCCTCCATTACCCAGTGTTCCATTACCCAGTGTTCCTCCATTACCCAGTGTTCCTCCATTACCCAGTGTTCCTCTGTGTTCATCATGTTCCTCTTTTGTGTTTCTCCTCTGTATTGATTTATGTCCCTTTACGTTCACCTGATCGTCCTATATGTTCATCCTCTGTGTTCATCCAGGACACATTCCTGTCTATCCCTCGTCAATGTATCTCTTTCAACCTGCCCATGGAGGCGCCGAGGGTATACGGAGTCAGCACTAACGTACATTATGGTGTGGTTCATACGCCCGACATTCTCTAAGCCAGATTGCACAGGTATTTCCAGCCAATGTCAAGTCCAACTACACTAGAGCTTGTGTAAGGCAAACCTATACAAGCGGGAGAAAGTAGGCTAGACCAACCACAGTCCAACGATTCGAAAACCCAGATGAAGGTTATTGTCATGTTATATTACATAGCATGGATACCTATGTGTTTACAACATGATTTATCGGCGCGCATAGCGCAGTTTAACTGAACACTGAAAAATGCATGCCCATAAATATGTTTGCATCCCGAGATATTAGGAGTTAACATTTTCAATTCGTTGAGTTTTATGGACACAGTTAAAGGCATCCCATGACGAAGTTTACAAATCTGAATTTAGCATAATACCTTTGCACTGAGAGTTATTTCACGTCTTTAAAATGCTGACTGGTAGGGCATTGCTTGCTTAACGGAGGTCTGTCCAGATGGGTCCACAAGTCCGTACTACTGTGACCCGTCAGCACATATTTTCAGCTGGGCAATATGGTCAATTTTTACTTCAGCTAAATCATTCATATGTTAAAATAGAAAATTATATTGAATGATCTTAATGCTTAAGCAGTGTTTTCAGTTGGGAAAAAATCGTGAATGATGACTAGTGCACATTGAATATTATTAGCCATAGGGTGCCATTCAGCTATTTCAGCACTGAAGTAGCACAGCACACAAAAGCCTTAAATTAGCTGGATGTGGATAACTGATATAGCTATTTAATGTGTATCCGACAAACACATATGTTGTATTTATCTGGTTAAAAATCATATATGTTGACAAGCCAAGAATAGGTATATGTTGAAGCCCGTTCTCGAGGCAGCCATAGTGATGTGTAGCTGACCAAAGGCAAGGGAGGGCTTGTCGGCCACCTGGTTCGGACTAGTTAGGGGCTGTCACACATCCAAGTTCAATGTCAGACATTGTTTTTACTGATCAACAACAAACACAGGCTGGCCTACAGTGCTACAAGTCTAACACTTGTCAACATTGTCTCACGACTCCCTGGCTCCAGCATCACGTATCACATGGTTCATTACAAAATAGCATCGCAGGCATGGAAGCACGGTTACCCCACGTTGTTTACTGTTTAGATTAGAAACATCAGATACATTTTACGTGAATACACGCACATTGAGTTTTCGAAACGTCGGTGAGATACTGGGACAGTGGGGATTATATAAAACAGACTCTTTGAAATACGGTGATCCGTTTATAATTTGCTTTAGTAAAAATATTGATTAAAGTACTTCTGACTTCTAATCAGCAAGAAAACGTCAACTGACTTGAATAGCCAAGCATGAGCCCTTACTGGAAACAAAACAGTGTGACGTACCTGACCCGCATCGCCATTAGTCACTTATGCTGTCTTTTTCGGTAAAATACAACTTACGAACTCTTAGCTACAGTACTGGAGACAGTGTGAACATCAGACATGACAATTCTGGTGTCCCAATTTTCCACTACTTGGATTCGGTTGTCTGGCGTGTGATATGTCAGTGTCTGTTTCCTTAGTGATCATGACCTCAAATGACCGTGAAAGTTTTGATTGACGTCCACCGTCGCCAGTACAGGTAACGCTGCGTGGATGTCAGTGGCATCAATAACGTCACATTATTTAGAGGTTGGCTCCCTGTTTGTCTGAACGAACTCTCAGACAGGCGGGGCACGTCACATTATAATCACTTGGGCCTTCTGGAGAAAGCCACGACTGAGCTGATACAAACGTGCTGGAAATTGGTAAACATGTGCCCCAATCCCACCTGTTAAATAAACGTCAGTAAATACGGTAATCGCTGGGCAAACCTCGACCACATTCATTACCTTCTTTACAACCTGCGTTTGCTTAATCATAGGGCTATGGGCTTACAAACGAAGCATTTTGACGCAAACTTACTTCATGGGTGAAAACTGAGTTGATCTGATTGGGGATTTTCCACACCAGAAAAGTCGTAGGTTTAGCAGCTTCTGGATTCGCTGGCCAGGGCGAGGGGAAAGCGCAGGTAACTTGTGTTAACATTGTGACATTTCCTTCTTATTCAGGCTGTGCAGCTCATGCCGCAATCCATTCTGTTGCTACACTTGCAAGTGCACGCTTGCTGTACAGTCTGTTGACGTCTTATCTCCTGCTAGGGTTGTATACAAGAGGTACATTGTACATTGACGTCAATCATGGTTTTGGTGAATATACCTATTGCTACTCTACACTCAAGTCCTTTATCTGGTGTATCTATACTTCCCAACACATAGTTCATTGTCGATATGCATATGGTATTATATGTTGGACAGTCGGAGCGAGTCGGTTGTTACATTCTAGGTTGAACTAGAGTGTCAAAGATATATCGTGTTGCCAAATAGTATTGAATTGTCGGAAATATTTAACGTGAAGGTGACACGTGTCGCATAACGTTGAATTGAGCGATTTGTAGGTTTGTAGTTTCCCCGCCTTAAGCCTATCATTATGATGCGTTTTAACTAAGATTGCAATATCATAGAGGGAAACCTGTTCGAATAGCCACCCGTAATGACGCTCAGCCATCCGAACTGGGTCTAAGTTAATGGGTCATACCTTGCACGTGGTGAACATGTGACGTGTCTCACTACCAGGGCTGTTCCCAACTCGTTTCAATGAGTCAACTGATGCGTTCAATGATAATACTGAGATGAAATGTTCACGGATTTCATTGCGTTCTCACACGTACATCACAAAACTGATTTCGGGGTATATCTAGAGATACACGACAGTTCTACAACTCCACGCCAAGGTGAGCCTCAGTCGACTTGTATAGAAATAAGCCTACTGTAACTCTGGGCTCACGAATGTCTTCAAAGTTCCATGTTTATGCAGGGTTACCATGTCTGATTGTTGTATTCGGGAATGAAACAAAGGTTCATGAGTCTTGCTTTTCATTACAGGTGACGCCATGATTAATATGTCTGTTTTGTGTACAGGATGTCTTCATGGTTACCCTATCTGAGTCTTGTATACAGAAGACTCCATGATGATCTTGACTGTCTTGTAAATCCATAACATTTCTTGTCTGACCACTGTGTACAACTAGCCTTGTCTGACACTACGTACAAGAGTGTTCTTGTACCACACAAGTCACTTCAATGTTGCCTTGCATGACCATCTGTGCAACCATGCCTGACCGGTGGACAGAGGTGACGCAATCGTGGTTATAGGTAGGTCACATACCTTCAGTGGTGTTAATCCAATGACTCTTTGTTTCAGGATGGCCTGGTTTGGCGCGTTTAGAAACAGGCATGGCTTCTCGTGGTACGCTGACAACCCCACCGCAGCGTCCGTGGACGTCCCCCTGGCAGCTGTCACGTACTTCTGTGTTCTGGTTTCCGTGGCAACACTGATTGCATCTCTTGGAATCAGAGGCAAAGATGTGAGTAAACTTTATATATGGTTGTAACGTTATTCATCCACTGTAAAACAGTTAAACTACCTTTGCACTGATGTTGTGTAGACCAACTGCTGTTCTTGGTGTGGTTGTGAAGCGGTTTGATCTTCAGTGGTGTGATATACAACATTTTCTTGCAGAGATGGATGACAGCATTGCGAGCAATTTACGGACTTGCTGTTGGTTCAATCATACTGGGTAAGCAGCACATTTATTTGATATTAGATAGTAAAACAGAATGTCGAAATAAGGCAACTTATCGAAACATGTCAACTTGGTATTATTAGAATCATCTCATTTCATGAAATGATCAATTGTGGAAATACATCATCTATGTCTGCTTTCATAAGACTGCTTCTGCTTGATGAATTGCTCAATCTAAGACTGTCAGAAGATCACTCTAAGAAAAGCTACCAAATACGAGATTAGAACAGTAATCCTACTAGAGGTTAAATGCTATGTGGTGAGGTTTAACGGTTTTATTATGAGAACTGACGCTGCACCTAAATATTGAGCCGACAGTTACTCATGGGTTTACTTTCGTTTGACGGGGGGATTTATGGCACGAATAAATGGGTATTTTATTGTCCGTTTTATGTAGATAATCATTTGCAACAAATCAATGCTTTACCTCAAAGATTTTGTGGGCATCACCACTCCGCCAAGATACAAAGAAGAATTATGTAGATGGAGAGTCTGATGCTGTATAGAAGCATCCTCCATGGTAACAACATGTTGGGAAATATACTGGTCAATGAATTCAGGCCAATGTAATTCATGCCGAAATACATGCAGTGTTATAGTTATATTAAACTAAGATAAGAATGCACTGGAACACAAACTCTGAATGTTCACATGCTATTACACGTATCTGACGAAAACGATTCTGATGCTACAAAAGCAAAATTGGGCCTACAGTTGGAGTTATCTCGCTTAGTTGCACACACGTTTGTAAAAGACATTATGGGTTCTATTCTATTTCTAATTTCTATATCGAGTAGAAATTACAATAATGAAACTACCATTGGAGTTTTTTAAATGATGATTATATTACAATACCCTAAGGAATATCAGTATTTAAAGATGACAGTTAATAACGACCCATTTCGTGTTCGGCCTCTGGTACCTAACGACATAACGCCACAATGTGATTTCTACACATAAATCCGTCAAGCTGTCTTCGTCACGCGTGACATTTGACCTCCATGTGCAGAAGTGATGTCGTCTGCCACGGTGTTGTTCGGCCATCTTGAATGACAGCTGTAGGAAGTTGTGCGTGATTTGAATCACGTTTTCGCAGACAATGGTTCCTTTTATTTCGAAACAATTGACACGGTCCTTGGAAAATATTGCTCATCAATTACTTTGTTAGGGGAACATCTGCAAATGTGTCCGTAAATATCTAAAAAACTGATATGTCGTTTGAATGTAAGCCCCTTATTTTGTTTTTGTTTAATGTTAGAATTTTTGCTTCCCGCTTGCTCAAGATGGGTTTATATATACATGTATGTAAGGAGTGTAGACATAGTTGCAGGCAAAGACTTTCATAACTGAAATATAATCACGTGTTTTAAAATGCCAATCGTTTAAACACATTCCAAAAATATCAATTAGTTAAAAAATTACTTTTATCATTTCATGATAACTGTGTTTTAATTTGAATATTGGAATATCATAAATGTCTAGGTTTACGACAATGATGGATGGGTTTGACGCAATCATTTGTTTTACAAAGGTCCTTAACTTCACAGACAGTATTTTATGTGTTCATAGTAGTGGAAATAGTTGTGTGATCACATCGTGTCATCACTCTCCATCATGCCTGTCAAGAGGGTTGGAGGGTGTGTGTGTGTGGGGGGATGGGGTGGTTGTACCTCTCGACATTACCTGGCATGTCATTACCCTTCAGTTATGCTTATTCAGAGTAATTGCTTTATTGTGGCAAAAGTACCAATTACTGATATTCTCTCTAATTATTCCCGCAGAAACACTGTGACATGCCATAAATAATGATACCTTAATGATACCACAGCAAACAATTACACATTCATAACTACCGGGCAAAATAACATTCTTAGACATTCGTAGACATTCTTGTTTACTGGTGACACAAACAACTAATGGTTATCCGAGTGCAATGTATTTGAATTGTAATTTCGGGGTCAACTTCCCCAGTGTGTACGTTATTTTTAGGCTGTGTATAATTATTGGTTTCTTATCAAATAACGATGGGATGAAATGTTATATATAACCAACTAAAACAGGTAGCTCTTATGTCACTTAAAATATTCTGTCAAAGAGACAATGTTTTAAGTCGGGATTACTGCATCGTGCTGACATGGCTGCTGTTTTTGTTCATAATCCTCTGGGTTTATTGTACGTGCAGCCTGCGGCAGAACGAATTAGGACAGTAATGCTTTTCTTGCTCGAGAAATAGTTTTATGGGGTGTTAGCTTTTTTATGTGCTTTGAAAGTCACAATGCATGTAAAGATAAAAGACTTGTTGCAAAGGCTAACCTAGAGAAGCCGAGATAAACATCAGCATTCCTTGACAGTAAGCATTTCAGAAGCCATTGACCCTCTGGTGATATGAAATATATTTCAGAAAAACCTTGACACAATCGAAAAAATACAAGAGCCGAAAAATTAGACTAATAAACAAACATTTTTAAAATAAAAGTGAATATCTTGTTTTTAACAAAACTTTTCTGCCCTTCTTGATGGTTTAGTGAGTGAGTGGGTTCAGCTTTTAGCAATATTCCAGCAATATCACGGCAGTGAGCCTTTGCTGGCATACAATAATGTGTGTTTGCCTTCAGAATTACGAAATTGATCGATTATCTGGAAACTCTGATCAGTTGTTTAAAACATTGGCATGCTGTGTTTAGATAATCATTATCGTATACACGTGTCTCTGTCCTTGCGTAACCTATCGCATACAAAATTGTTCCTTTTGTCAAGGAATATAAGATATTAGTTGAAATATTCCTGTGATATACCCATGAGTATGTATAAGTTGCGGTTGTTCTCTCTAGTGGGCGCCTACAGTCACAGCTGGCAGACAGGGACGGTGGAGGTGACCACGCCCTACGTATACCGGTCCCCCCAGCATTTCCGAGGGGTGGTGGGTGTCCACGTGGCTCTCCACGGGGCCAATGTGACCCTTATCGGTAAGACGTCAAGACACGTTATGATAGTATCGTTTCTTCTTTGACTTTGTCTATCCGATAGCGATTTCATGTTATATTTATTGTGATGGCGTTTCTTTGATGGTGTTTCTGCACTACTGTGTATGTGGTTGTATTTCTGAGACATGTCCTCGATACTGTATATGATATTATCTCTGTAACCAAATGTCCTTATCTGAATCTGAATACAGATTTTACAATTTTTAATTAATGATTGTATAAAGTAGCTATCCTTCTACTGCCCGAGCTTAGTTGACTTCAGTGTCTTTATGTTGTTTCCAGGTAAATTCGGAGATTCCCCCCATAGTGGTCACGTGGCTTACTCAGAGGCCCTCCCGTGGAGCGACTGTAAGTACCTACCCTTGCTAACCTGTCAAATAATAGTCTAAAATAACAAATACAAATCTGCTTCGGTTCTTATTGTAGTATAACTATTTTCATTCAGTTTTCCCGTATACGTTTCCTGTTCAGAATATACCTACTACCTTAGACAACACGGTAGTGGTTTCAAATGTGTACTGTACTGTTGTCTGTCACGTGATCACGGCCCCTGACCGACAGAGATGAAACCACATGACCACTGACAAGTTCCTGCAGTGTACAGAATGCATTCATATAAATAACATACATTCTCCATAATTACTATAATTCTTAGTAAGTAGGGACCATTTAAAACGAGTAAGAAAATGCTAAACACCTAATTACAGTAAGAATGTTGCATGTGGGGAGTCTCAACAGTTCGATAAGCACATAGAACTATGAAGGAGATTATGTCTGACAGTAACAGTAACAAATCTACGTCACCTAAACGCATATACTATGGTTTCACACACCAGACATTAAGGTCACTGCACACGTCGATACAGTGGGTCACTGGACTACTCGTGTTCCCGTATTACCGTGTCAGTAGGTACAACCAGTCAGTAACTCACAGAGAGCTTTAATGTACTCCATGGTCAAGGTTAACCGCCCCTGACTATTATAAGTACATATGTATCATCACAAACATATCGGGGTGGCTTACTGGGACCCCAGACGTCATTAAATACTTCACTAGTTAGGACAGCAGGGTTCGTTACTCCTTCAGTCAAGTGTGCATTCCATAGCCACCCGTTACGAGCAGGTTGTTTTCTGTTGTGAAAGATACATAACAATTCATACTGGATCTCTTTTCGCAATACGATAAATTCCATTAAGTACGTAATATCAATGCTATGTTTTTCTGCTAATGGAGACATTAATGTGTGACTATTTGTTGTTGGGCTCCGTTGGAATATGGTGTAATGCAAGTGTAACTTGGTAATTTTAAGAATGTTACCTTTGTGAAGGAAATATATATGACTGTAATGAAAATATTAACAGTTCAGTCATGAATAATGGGAAAAGACATCTCTGGTAGAGAGTAGTACCTTGCTAGCTGTTGATCATATTGGAATGTCCCCTTGCTAGCTGTTGATCATATTGGAATGTCCCCTTGCCAGCTGTAGGACATATTGGAATGTCCCCTTGCTAGCTGTAGGTCATATTGGAATGTCTCCTTGCTAGCTGTAGGTCATATTGGAATGTCCCCTTGCTAGCTGTAGGTCATATTGGAATGTTCCCTTGCTAGCTGTAGGTCATATTGGAATGTCCCCTTGCTAGCTGTAGGTCATATTGGAATGTCCCCTTGCTAGCTGTAGGTCATATTGGAATGTCCCCTTGCTAGCTGTAGGTCATATTGGAATGTTCCTTGCCAGCTGTAGGTCATATTGGAATGTTCCCTTGCCAGCTGTAGGTCATATTGGAATGTTCCCTTGCTAGCTATATGTAATGGTGTTAGCTCTGCGTAATGTTGGGATGTTCCTTGTTTTAGATGGCCATGAATCCGACGCCTTCCATGACTTCATAGGGCGTGGTCTCCCTGACCCTATCTTGAGGGTGGTAGAACACCTCTGTGCTGACGCTGGGGGGCTGCGGTGGGGGAAGACGTTTCATACATCCGGGGAATTCGCATGCGCCCTGCTCTGGTAAGTTATCAAGACATGACAGAAAGTGATTTAGTGAATATCAAAGAGGAAGATATACAAAATGACGTACACATAGTTAACAACCGATAACACATATGTCAGTATGTGTGCATATACAATGTTATGAGATGGGGTTTTGGAGATGAATCATACGTTTTCAAGTGCCATTTTCTGGTACCGTACTTCGTATAGTCGCCTACTGACCTAGCTAAGTTTAACTTCTAAGAGGTTGCACCAGTACGCCTTTGTTATATTTGTGACAGTCTGCTTATCAGCAGCGGTCTTAATGACTATCGCCTTACAGTTAATGAGACCGTGTCATCAAATGTGCTATCCTCGGGCAGGCTGTCGACAATTTAAGATAATGCCGTGTCGGGGTACCGCTTTATATAGCCATTGGCAGTTAGGTGAAAATAACTTTCACAAGGGTTTATGTTTCTCGCTTGAACAGGTGAACGATCATAGGTAGTGTCTTTCACTACTGAGAGGCTTGTCACTAGGTCACGTGACCTTCACGTGGACAGTGACCTCACGTTGATATTTCTTCAAGTGTCATATCATGTCATTCTAAGCTGAACATTATAAGAACTTAGTATAATGTGTTTCCAAAATATGTTTTCATTTTTGCTTAAGCCTCATTTTATTTGTTTTCATTTTCTGTTTTCCTTGATTTGAATATTTCTGTGTTATTCGATTGCAATTACTCATGCATGCAGTATAATATACATGTATTTAACGAGAGCACATCTGTCAAATTAGAAATACTATACTATTTAAAGAATAGGTAATACAATATAAAATTAAATTAAAGCAATGTTGGCATTGTTACTCCAGAAAAGTACATGAATAGATCACTGAAAACCAGTGAGGACATGGTGTGTTGAATACCCTATGCCAGTTAGAAAGTGGTCCAATGTAACACATGTTATATTTGGGATTACCCTGTCACAGTAAAGTACAGATTCCTGTAGTCTTTTTGTGTTGCGTCCCATCCGGCATTCGAACCCACACCGTCAGAGTCAGGCATCTATAGTATGTTTGCATTGAAAACGTACCGATGAATGTCAATTTAAACAAAAACGTAAATCGAATAAGATGAAATTAAGATTGCGAATCCTCATAATTTTACCTTGCCAACTGACCATTTATATCTCAGAATTTTATTCAACTTAGGATAAAAGTTGTTTAACAAACGATCATAGTTTCAAATCGCTATTATTGGTTTGTATTACAAGGGTGTATGCACATTAAATGAAACACCGAGAACTAGTTGAGTTGGTCTAAGTTAACGCTCATCACGAACAGCACGTGCATTTGTTTCACTGTTCCATCTGCTGCGCTCACCCCCTTGTAATACAAACCAATAATAGCGATTTGTATGTATGGTCGTTTGTTAAACACCTTTTGTCCTACAATGAATAAAATTCTGAGATTTAAATGTTCAGTTGGCAAGGCAAATTTATGAGGATTCGCAGTCTTAATTTCACTTTATTTGATTTACTTTTTTGTTTAAAGTGAAATTCATCGGTACGTTTTCACTGCAAACCGACTATAATCGCCAGAACCCAAAGTCAGCCGTCTAACATCCTCAGACAACGCGCCTTCCACACTTGTTTTATCGATGTTTTCTTCTTTATCTTAACAGGACAGCTTTTGCATTCTGGATCGTGACCAATACACTGTTGTTCAGTGTCATCTGCTACGGGGCTACACGTTCACCCTAACGGGGTTCACGTTGTCCTTGACCTGTGTGGTGTACCATGTCTGCCAGCCCCGCAACCCTCTGATGATATCGTATGGCGAGCATATCCTCAGAACACACTATGGGTGGTCGTTCTGGCTCATCCTTGTTACAGGTGAGAACATGAATGATGTAGATTGCCCTTGTGCTTCCTGAAGAATATGTAAACTCACGGGCGAAAGAAACGTCACCTCGCTTTTTTAACATGCCACAAAACAACAATCTCAGATTTTCGAAATTTAACAATCATATGTGGAAAGTTAATGGATTTACAACATTTTCATGAATGATGAAAGTGTGAACTACAGATATGAATAATCACTTAGTGTACGATAAAAGATAAAAATATCATTTCGCCCGTGAGTTAACATAAGAAACATTTTATGTCTGTAGTGGTGAGCACAATCTTTTTTTTGCTTGGGTAATGAAGCCAGTTATTGATGGTGAAATAGGCAAGGTTATTCATTGGATGATGTTGTGAAAGGCGATCTATAATTTCTTTTGAATTGTATACACCACATTCTGGTAATATATTCCGAAATGCACCCGATGTCAGGGATTGTGACGGGGATACTAAGTCAAGGTAGCAATTGGTCATGGGTATTCACCTTCCACATCTGATCTTTCAAAACACCATGTCCTCTGTTTAAGGAGTTTCGACTTTCGTCATTGGTCTCCTGATTGTGTTCTTGGACCACGTCTTCCCAAAGAAGATGGCCGAGGTAATGGGCGTCGATGCTGGTATAGAGGACGACAGGGGAGAGTTTGGAGCCTTTGTGTCTGTCAAGGTGAGCTGACGTACTTGCATCAATCTACAAAAATGACTCCTAAAATGACAACTCTCAGAAAAAATATACATAATAACATCCACGATTTATGGACCTTATGCAAGGATATATTTAAAAAGTCTGAAACAGTACACGTCTTAAACAACTATTAACTGTTGAGTTAAATTATGTTTTGCATGTCTCCTGGTAAGACGTTTTGGAACGTGTTTTACGAGAGAGGTAGTATTATTTTGGTCCTTCAGCAGGCTTGACTGTAGTACATTGAGTGCCACATGTCTATCTGATGTGTCGGTCATCGTTACAGGATCGAAAGGAAAGCATCTTCTTCACAGAAGAGAGGAGGGGAGGCCTATTCCCAGGTCGAGACAGACGCGGTAATTTGTACCCCGGGGGAGACAGGAGAACCAGCGTGTTTGGGGATCAGCAGAGAAGAGGCAGCTCTTATGGCACGTCCTGGTATTCCAACAAGGGTTTCAGTTCAGGTGATGAAAAGATGAAGATTAATCCCCTTTTCTCAGGACATAGCATTACGGAGGAAGACGTATCCAGACCTGACACGCCCCAAACAGACGTCCAGATAAACATTGAAGATGAACAGGGTAATATCATTTCCGGTGAAGACAGGAAGTCTACATGTTCGTCTGCTAAGGAGGACAGAGATAATGACTTAAATGAGAAGCAGGCTTCGTCTAGTGTGACAGTAGACATTGGGCGGTTGAGCCGCCAGTTGTCGCATGACTCAGGTAATGAAAGCGCCTGTATTCAGACACGTGACACTGACAGTGATGTTGGAGCTGAATGCACACAGTCGCTATACGTCAACACAAGCTGAATATCGGCGAACTTTCGGATTGCAAACCGTTGTCTTCCTTCTTGCTATGGCTCCAGCTGCCTCAACTCTAGACCCATTAATTAACTCATACGAGTACATATTTCAGGAACGTGTTACTTCTGGGACAATCCTGTCAGTGAATATTACTCTTACGAGATTCACAAAAGACGTAACATGCATTTTCGGATCATTGAGTACACGCTTGGAGACAAGTACAGAAACTATGGTTTTGCAAATCTGCCCACTAATATCCACTCTACGTCCAGGTCGAGGTCAAGGTCAAGGTCTCCGCTTGTCTACCGCACGTATTCCCCTCTTCCTACTCACAATAACAAAACGGGGCTTCAATCCTTCATGCCAGCCCCTGTATTACTGCTGGTACCTGCTACAGAAGCGGTAAGAGCAGGCATCCCCCAGAACCAAGATCGCTGACCTAACCTCGCCAGACACATGCCAGGACACTGTTACTTGCTACCGGCATTTCGCCATCATATCCGTTGATCATCAGCTCAACATACGCCCATGTCTTTCATACATGCATAATCCGCAAACGACTACTGATTGTGTTTCAATCGTTATATACTAGAGTGTTGTGTAATGTAAAGCAAAAGCTTGCCCGTGGGAATAACACTATACCCAACCGTCTCCCATGTTTTCCTCGTCAGGCGACCAGTAGTGTTCCTCGTCATGTGAATATGTGCTTTAGTTTCTTGTGTTTTCCGCATGTATATGCGACAAAATATATTTAGTACCCATTAATAAAATGTTATCAGTCATTTATTATGCATCTAATGAGATTATTCATTAGAAAAACGTTTTTGTAATAACAACGAAACAACCTTTAATGCTGATTTGACCTTTAACACTTATAACTTGGATATAGCTTTTGTTTGTATCACCTGAGCTTTTGCTAGTAGTTGTGTAACTGTAGAATATAACATATAATACATCTAGCAGATCACGATAGGTGCTATGTGTGGGATATAAACAACAGATAGACTTCAAATTGGAATTGTCATGAAACGTCATCATATTTCTTTTAAAACTCAATCAACTACTTTCGGATGTGAGTGTTTCATCAATACCAGCCATCCCTGACACTATCGCATCGTTGGCATATTATGATTTAATCTAATTTACAATTTGCTAGTTTTTCGTGGAAGAATAAGCATCAATGAACAGTCGATTCCGTACGTTAAACCGGGTTATACTGAAGAACATAACCATCCTGAACGTCAAATCTTGAAATAAGAGTAGGTATGCCTCAGAGGGTTAGTGCAATTAAAGGTTGTAATTCTTGTCTAGGTTTCACCTTAACCGGTTATAGAAACTTAGTTTAGTTGTTGCAAGATTTCCTTTCTTGTCAAAATACAAAGTGTGATTTTAGCGAACAGTGTTTTGTCCATTACAGTTTACGCGCGAGTGTGCACACAGTTAAACATCTGACGCTGTGTGTCCGTTTCACACAATATGTCTCCAGTCAGTATACATGACCTTGGTGGCTGAATCGACTGTAGCTGACGTAATAGTGCCCCACCCCCTCCCACCACATGGGCAAGGTATGCTGACCCTCAATCACCTGATACCGCCATCCGTGGCTCGTGAGATGTTGGACATTACGTGTATTAATCCACCTGACCAAAATATAATAGTTCACCACATTGACGACTTGAACACTTGACAATTGAGACTTTTGAAGGTATTTGCCACTCAAAGACAGCCAAGGCTTATTGTATTTTTCGTATTACTTTAGTTAATCAAGTTGTGATCAACTACAGTAAAATGATAGAACTGACGATTCTTAGCTTGTGTTTGAGCAGGTCTTGTGTTGAAGTAGAAGTCAGTCGGATGTTTCACCTATCTACCCTTTAGTTTGTTTGTGTACAGGTTGTGTTGATACCAATGTAGAAGTGATGTTTAAGTATGTACAGTAGAAGTGTGTCAACAATATAGATAAGTAAGTATGTATATGTACAGTCCTGTTTGACAATTTATGTTCCATGTCAAGAGATTATTGTACAAAATAGAACACTGTTAAACTTATTTTTTAATTAAAAACTATTTGAAATGTTGACATTTTTATGTTGTTATTTCTTCGGGATGCAATGATATAGATTTCGCCCCATCGTTGGGTGTTCCTCTTATGTTAAGCAGTGTCTGGGTTTCCTCCCATGTTATGTCGACTCTCTGGTATTCCACACATGTAAAATAGACATTTGACGATCCTCACAAATTACGATAACATTTGGGTAATTCCTCCACGTTAAGTAGACGTAGTTTTCCGAAGAAAGAAAGACATATCTGACTAATTTCTATACCTGTTACCAAAACCAACAATTTCTATAAACCCAAAATACAAAAACGTTTTTTTGCAAAAGGTGTCAAAAAGTCAAAAACAGACCAGAAAGTACACGTTTTGAGGAATTTACAGAATGGGCTTATTCTGCACTTTTTATCACCAAATCATACAAGGAAAAACCCATTTAGAAGTATTCGCCCGAAATCACATATTTTGTATTGGTTACAGGATATATTCATGAAAAGTATACGAGTAAAATATTTCTCTCTTTTACTCGGGTGTCCCTCCCCCATGTTAAGTAAACACCTCCGTGTTTCTTCCATGTTAAGTAGACACTCGGGTGTTCTTCCCATGCTTAGTCAACACATGGGTGTTCCTACCATGTGAAGTAGACGCTTGAGTGTCCCTCCCATGTTAAGTAAACACCTAGTGTTCTTCCCACGTTTAGTAGACACTTGGGTGTTCCTACCATGATAAGTAAACACCTGGTGGTCTTTCCATGTTTAATAGGCACACGGGTTTTCCTTACATGTTAAGAAGACACACGGATGTTCCTACCATGTTAAGCAGACACACGGGTGTCCCTTCCATTTTAAGTAAACACGTGGGTATCCCTCCATGTTAAGTAAACACCTGGTGTCCCTGCAATATTTAGTAGACACTCGGGTGTCCCTACCATGTTAAGTAGACACTCGGGTGTCCCTACCATGTTAAGTAGACACCTGGGTGTTCCTGCCATGTCAAGAAGACACTCGTTTGTTCCCTTTATGTTTAACAGACACATGGGTGTCCCTACCATGTTAAGCAGACACACAGGGTGTCCCTACCATGTTAAGCAGACACACGGGTGTCCCTACCATGTTAAGCAGACACACGGGTGTCCCTACCATGTTTAGTAGACACACGGGTGTCCCTACCATGTTAAGCAGACACACGGGTGTCCCTACCATGTTTAGCAGACACACGGGTGTCCCTACCATGTTAAGCAGACACACGGGTGTCCCTACCATGTTAAGCAGACACACGGGTGTCCCTACCATGTTAAGCAGACACACGGGTGTCCCTCCCATGTTTAGTAGACACACGGGTGTCCCTACCATGTTAAGCAGACACACGGGTGTCCCTACCATGTTAAGCTGACACACGGGTGTCCCTACCATGTTTAGTAGACACACGGGTGTCCCTATCCTACACTTGGGTGTTCCTCGTTTGTTAAGTAGACACTTGGATGTTCCTCGTATGTTAAGTAGACACTTGGATGTTCCTCGTATGTTAAGTAGACACTTGGATGTTCCTCGTATGTTAAGTAGACACGTGGGTGTTCCTCGTATGTTAAGTAGACACGTGGATGTTCCTCGTATGTTAAGTAGACACGTGGGTTTTCCTCGTATGTTAAGTAGACACGAGGGTGTTCCTCGTATGTTAAGTAGACACGTGGGTGTTTATCATATCTTAAATAGACACTCTGATATTGTTCCTGTGTTACGTAGATAACGTTAGATACGTCTCAGGAGGCTGTAAATACAGTTTGACCACACATTGATGTAAAAATATGGGTCAGAATAATGGAGATACACGAAGATTCATTTGGTTTATGTTATCAGACGCAATATATACTAAATTAGTATTACTCTATAGTCAATGCCGCACAGAGGGGTCAGGGATGGTAGGCTCATCATCAACTCAAGGCCCTTGTGTGGATGAACCTCTGAGTCAAAGCCACAAGCATGACGGAGTTGGAAGTGCTTAAGATACTATGTTTGTTCTAGATCGTTGCATCCATTGACAAGGCCTAAGGCAGTTTCAATAAATTCAGTGTATAAACTACAGATAAATTTGCATTTTGATATAAAATCATTCACTGATGGTTTCGAACTGGTTCGCATTATCATTATATTTCAATCAATCAATGCAATCTTTCCCATATTATACAACAACCATATTTCGACAGCGGTGTGTTCACTATACAATTGTATACTACAGGACACATTCAATCCATTTTCTGAGTCCAAATATACTAGCCACATAAAGAAACTGCATTGTCAAAATATTATCCCAGTTGATAAGTACGATAACAATGTCAAAGGTACACATAAACTTTAATGGAGGGATCATGAGACCATAACAAGTCGGGAGAATTTCAATTGAAAAGTCAATCACAATGATGTCACGAGGCCACAAGCGGGACAGGGGGTCAAACGACCATGTCACAAGCTCAATAACGGGTATGTCCACCATCGGCATTGAGAACAGCAGTGCATCGACGACGCATAGAGCCTATCAAACGTGCAAGGAAGGCTTGTGGGATGTCACGCCAGATTCTCTCTGCAAGGTCAAGGACGTTATCTGGCGGATGAGGAAGACGGCGTAGACGTCGATCCATCTCGTCCCAAACATGCTCTATCGGGGAGAGATCCGGTGAATTTGCAGGCCAAGGCAGTAAGTCAACGTTGTGGTGTTGCAAGAAATCCATAGCAACCCTTGCCGTACGAGGGCGGGCATTGTCCTGTTAATGAATGTTAACCCAGGGCCATGACGTTGCAGAAAAGGAATTGCCACAGGTCGAAGAATCTGATCCCTGTAGCCCACACCAGTTAAGTTGCCCTGAACAATTACCAAAGGAGTTCTTTGGCGTGCTGTTATCTACCCCAAATCATTACGGAACCACCACCAAAGCGATTCCTCTCCAAGACACAGGCCTGTGCATAACGTTCTCCCCCACGTCTATAGGCACGTTGACGTCCATCACTATGGGGAATGTTAAACCTGGAAATCAACTGCAAAAACATTTCTCCACGAAAACAAGGGTCTGCGGACATGATTTCGGCACCACATTCGGCGAGCTTGTCGATGACGTCTTGTCAGGATAGGCCGTATTGCGGGACGTCGTGGTCTGATCCCGTGATGACGTAAACGTTGTCGAACTGTGTTGGGGTGGATACGGCGAAGTCCTTGGATGGTTCGGGCAGTCACGGAACGTGGCACGTGCATGCATGTTGGATACATGTCACTAATCTCTGAGTTTAAATCCTTATGTGTCTACACAGGTTTGATAAATTTAGATTTTAAATTTTTGTATGCACAGTTTCTTTATGTGCCTAGTATATTATAAAGAAAACGTCGCTTTTGCTTCTTTCTACCGGAGAGGAAAAAATGGTCCAGGTGTCTTAGGCGATTGGTCTTCGATATCTGGAGGTATAAATGTGTGTCTCCATTGATGAGGGTGGTAGGGTAGCCTAGTGGTTAAAGCGTTCGCTCGTCACGCCGAAGACCCGGGTTCGATTCCCCACATGGGTACAATGTGTGAAACCCATTTCTGATGTCCCCTGCCGTGATATTGCTGGAATATTGCTAAAGGCGGCGTAAAACCCAACCCAGTCAGTCAGTCAGTCTCCTGTGATGAGATGATACCTTCCCTTGCACCCAACTATTCAGTCTAATTAGCCTTGTGAGCATTGATCGGCCACGCTACACATGCCTACGTCACTACGTTAGGATGTGGTGGATTTTAGTGCAACTGCAGCCAATCACTTTTAAAAATTGCAGATTTGTTGTCATCCATTAGTTGAAGGTATGCTTTTAAACCCGTCTGAGTGATACAGAGTGTATAGTTGTACTTTCATCTTGTCTTTACATCTTTAGATATTATCTTAAGTAAGGTGTAAGTGGATGTCTGACTAAATGTGTAAGTAGCTTAGTCTACTGAATATACATAGTCGTCTATCGTGGTGTAAAGGGCCCGAGGGTACTATTTTATTCCAGTCTTTCGAAGAGATGTGTGTGTGGTCATCCAATTATAATTACGAGGAGGTAAACCTTTAGTGGCACACTAGGGTGAGAAGGCGGTGTTGGCTCACACGAAACCATACATGTATAAGCAACGTCAAAATGATGTAGAATATTCTTAAACAAGGCCATATTGATGTGCCATGCTTGTGACGTACTTCATCTCTCAAAGATTTCATCATTAGTCGCTTCCCACGATCTAGGCATAGTTTGAAATTTCTTTCTTGAGACAGGACATTGGTATAAGAACTTGTACAACGTATGTTCTATAGTACAACCAGAAATTATTGAGAATTTAAAGATTGTAATGTTTTACATTTTTTTCACTCATTACTCACGTATTAAATGTGAATATTAGCAGAACATAACTCCAGATTCAAAGACAAGTGAACAGTTAGTATTTTGTCAAGTCACCATGGGCAGCAATGCCGGCTTCAATGCGGCGGGGCATACTACTGATCAAAGAAGTTAGAATATCGTGGTCCATGCTGTCCCAATATCGGACCACCTTTTCTTTCATTTCAGCAATATTTGTCAGATTTTTCTTATTGACACTTTCCTTCATAAGTCCCCAAACATTTTCTATTGGATTTAGGTCAGGGCTATAGCTTGGCCAATCTAATAATGTCATATTTTGGGTCCGAAACCAGGCCTGTGAATGCTTTGAATGATGTTTTGGGTCGTTGTCCTGCTGGAAAATCCAAATATTTCCATACAACACGTGAGCAGATGGAAGTAAATGTCCCTCGAGAATATCTGTGTACCGCTCACTGTTCATATTCCCTTCAAACACACAGAGGGGCGTTGCCCCTAACACAGATATGCCACCCCACACGTTAAATTTCGGACTGTACTTTGGGCGCTGATACAAAGGTTTTTCAGTTTGTTTGGTTCAGAATTTCATTGTATTAGGCCACAAGAACAGCCACACAGAACTTTCATCTGAGAATCGGTGCTGGAATCACATTGTCCCAGTTAAAATTTCTA